CTCTGAAGGGTCGGGGCTACTTTCCAGTTCCTGAGGTCAGGGGCTTTCGACACAACTTCCAGAACTTCGGGGCGAAGTCATTTCAGGCCAGGGGTCTTGATTCACAGGGTCTTTTCAGACAGGGTCTGTAGGCAGACAGGGTCTTTCAGGTTCAGGGTGGCAGGTCCGGGCTACCATTTTCACATTGGTAGCGGAGCCCGGCCTGTCTTTATCTATAGGGGATAGATAAAGTAAACAGGGGTTTGAGATAGGGAGAGCCTTTGCGAGCCATGCCGGGAGAAAATGGTAGAGGCGAAGGGGGAGATGCTGCGCAGGGGTCGACTGGAGGCGGCTTGGGCCACCTCCCGTGGCAGCAAATCCCTAAGTTTGTTCCTGGGATGACCAATGTGGACGAGTATGTTCAGCGACTTAAGTTCCTCAAAGAGCTGTGGCCCGCTGAACACATCCATCTTCTTGGTCCTCGGGCAGCGCTGCAAGTCGAAGGATCGGCTTTCCAAAAGATCAGCCGGATCGCTCCCGAGAAACTTCGCCAAGGAGACGGAGTCAAGCTGCTGGTGGAGTCGCTGGGTGGTTCTTGGGGCCGCACCCCGACAGAGGAGAAGTACCACTTCTTCGAACAGGCCATCTTTCAGGTGGCGCAGCGGAACGACGAGACCAACGACAGCTACATCGCGCGGCACGACGCCTACTTTGAGGAGTTGATTGCTCGACAGGTCACTCTGGAAGAGGTAAGGGCTTACATTCTCCTTCGCCATTCTCAACTGGCAGCCGAAGATAAGAAGAGAGTTGTGGTGGAAGCCCGCGGCGACCTGCAGTATGGAGCCACCGTGAAAGCCATCCGGCTACTTGGATCCAAGTTCTTTGGTGACCTGCAAAGCAGGCACGGCCCAGGAAGTGCCAGAGCTGGTGAACGAAGCAAGGTGTATGACATCCACTTCACGGAGGAGAGTGCCACCGAGGACGCTTTCTACAGCAGTGCCGGTCCCGAGGAAGAGCCAGATGACGAAGAGTTGCTTTGCTTTTTCTTGGAACAGAACGATGAGGACGCGATTTACATCGCAGAGTTCGAGGACTCGATCATCGACGCGATCCAAGAAAGCAACCTTGCCCCTGTGTATGTGTCATATCAAGAAGCCAGACAAAAACTCAGGGAAAAAGCCAAGTCTCGGGGGTATTGGACACAGACCAAAAGCAAGGGCAAGGGCAAGAGCTTCAGCAAGAAGGGCAAGGGCACTGCCTCATCAGCATGGGGCAGCGGCCGGAGCCGTTCGCTCGCGGACCGCATGGCAAATTCTACTTGTAGAATTTGTGGGGGGCGTGGACATTGGAAAAGGGAATGTCCAAGGCGAAATGGCACAGGGGAAGCACGTGATGAGCACCGAACAGAAGTGACAAACTACACCATGGAGGATTCCCAGCACGACTCTCCCTTCCCCGAGGTTCTCCAGCACCTGCCGTCGGAAGCCGTGCTCTACATGGAGGGCGAAGACGATGATGACATGGAGGCCAGTGACGAGGACATGTCAGAAGTGGGCATGCAGGTAGGTGACCGCCAGCCGGAGAACGGAATTCAGTCTTCCTCTGCTGTGTGTTTAATGGCCTTTCATCCAGAACTGGAATCGGGGTCCAGCTTTAGGAAGAATCTTGCATGCAAGTTGTTAACGTG